GATCTTGGCACAATTACCCAAACACCTTGATTTGAAAAGGGTGAAAGCCATTTCTGCTCACGACACTCTGCAGACTCGTTGTGAAGACACTTCCCTTAATAGTGTATCCCACCTGCATCAGGCAGAGCAGCGCTTCAGGTTCCATCTATCCGTTCTCGTGACAGGGGTCTAAGCACCTCATTATTACATAAAATGCTGACCCCATCATAATATTTCTCCTCCTCCAAAGAGGACTGGGTGGTCTGGGCCTGAAATGGGTGGGGGAGTGTGGCTTCATCGGTGAACTTCAACTTGAAGAAGTTGCAGTGAAGACTTGCTGTGGAGATAGAGAGAAACATAACTAAATCATCTTCTGAACTTTGATGAAACGAGAAGACAAAAGAAACATGTTATTTAAGCAGAAGGAAACTCTCCATGAAGACTCCCTTTATCTCTGCACTGAAAATAGTGAGAGAGTAGATGGTGTTTTGGATAGAGAGGATTACTTACCTACTGTCAAGAGACAAATGATCGTGAGGTGCTGCCCAGCTTAGCTGGGCTGGATCCCATGCACTTTCCTACCCAGGTACCCTGGGTGAAGGAATGTGTAGTTGGTGCTACTGTGATCCTGGTGTAAATCAGGTCTACCGGCAAAAGGCACTGGAGAAAAACGCTGAGATTGTGAAGGGCAAAACATTGATATGTCCCTCCTGACGTACGAAACTGACTGACTGTCTCCTGCTCACAAAAACAGGAGCTGCAGGCAGAGATGGAAAGATTTTCTACCCTGAGGGCCACAAACCGAAATATCAATAAGGCCTGCCTCACCGCTGTGAGCTTTGGACAACCAAAGATGCTCCATCCCTTCTCTGTTTCTCCCTTACCCATCTCCAGGCAGAGATATTTTGATGGTAACGATGGGAGTGACCATGTAGAATTTATAATTATCAGTGTCAAGAATGCTCAGCGTTAAAGCCAAGTCCTTGACATTACTTGCACATAGTGGTAAAAATTAATCCTGCATCTTTGTTTCCTTGAGGAATCAGATTGAGTAACAATAACAGTTGGTAGGCAAGCCAACCACAAACTCTTGGCAATTTGTGAAGTAACTGCAACTTTTGCAATTTTATTCCCTCCATTTTCTGCTTTATGGCCAGAAGTTCATAAACACACCAGAAATTCAACTATCATTTTTTCCTACTGCAAAAACAGTTCACTTATAAAAATATGTAAAAAATAAAAAGCTATCTCTATTACCAGGGTATGATTTAAGGGAAATTATTTGTAGGCATATTTTCACATGCATATGTACCTATGTGGGTCTGTGCATGTATGTGCATGTGTACACTTCTGTATATTTAAGAAATTATTATCAAAGTATTGAAAAAAATCACATCACTGGTAACTAAACTGACGAACCAATAAATAATAAAAATATTTTAGTTTAGTTTTGATACTCAATGATCTGTAAGACAGTGTCATTTGCAGATATCTTGGTCAATTAGAAACACTAGTCATTTAAAACGGCGAAGTATCACAACCTATTATCATATACTTCAGGTGTCATATTAAAATACTGCATGAACAATTTTTGTTTGTTGACTGAAGTGAGGTGTAAAGTAAAATAGGATCTGAAAAAGTATTTAGTATTGATGTCTTTGGATAGTTATTGGGTATGTCAGCAAGTGACTTGGTGCAATGGAAGATCAGTAGACAGGAAAGGATCACTAGAGATTGTGCTGAGGCTCCTCAGTTCTTCATTATATGGATTTATGAATTCAGTTTGACTTGGATTTTGCTGTTGAATAAACCACAAAACAATGTAAGTTGGAATAGATGTTTGGAGACCATCTGGTCCATCCATCCCTCCAGACAGAGCCAGTTTCAAAGACATACCAGGTTGTTTAGAGCTTTTTCCAGTTGAGTTTGAATATCTATATGGGGATCAAGATTCTATAAGTTCTCTGGGCCCCCATTCCAGTGTTCGATGACCCTCATTGTGAGAGGGGTTTTTTGCTTCTATCTAATTGGAATTTTTCTCATTGTAATTTGTGTCTGTTACTTCTCATCCTTCCACTGTGCACCTCTGAGAAGAGTGTGGCTCCATCTTCTCTATAGCTATCATTAGGTAGTTGTGAACAGCAATTAGACGACCCTTAGCCATGTCTTCTCCAAGCTGAACAAAGATAGGTCCTTCAGCCTCTCCTCAAATGGCTGATCCCCCAGTCCAAACTCTCCAGGTTTCCAAAAGAAAGAAACATTATGTACACTCTACAGGACCTTGAGGTGGTGTAGCCCACCCAGTGGTTCATGCCCCACTAGGCATTGGAGTGCCTTCAGAGTACGTTTGGAGTACCTTCAAAGCAAAACTTCTGGTTCATTTTCCTCCTAGGAAGGAATCTAGTCTGCACACATGAAAACCCCTCTGCAAACTCAACCAGCATGAAGTCACAGGGGACCATCAAGGGGTTGCTTCAAAACTGCACTAATGCAATTGTAGACTTCACTGTGGATACTGCTCTAGAAATGTCAGTGTTCACCTGTGGACAAAAAGGCAAGGCAAATGTTAGGAATTGAGGGGAAAAAAAGGAGCTGAAAACAAAAGAACAAATATGATTCGGCACTGCACAAATCCAAGATGCATTTTGGACGTTACATGCAATTCTAGCCAGCCCATTCCCAGAAGGGTGCAGTAGAACTGAAAAAATAAGACAAATGTACCACAGGAATGATCCATTGAAACAGATGGATCCATCTGAAGACTTAGCTGACATATGTGGTTGACAGAATCCCTCTTTTCATTGTGGTAAAATAAACGGACAAGGGGGTGTGTAAGAAAAGACCACAGCATCAGTAGTGATGTAGAGAGGTGAAAATGGAATATTTATTTGCTACTTCCCATGACAGAAAAAGCAGAGATGATCAGCTGGCAGACTGAGAGCAGATAAGCAAAAAATGAATGAATGCTCACCTAAGGCATAGTATGTTTGTGGAATTATCAGCTGAAGGTCCTGTGGAGGCCAGAAGTACAAGAAGATCAGCCAGAGTCACGAAAAAATGCTCAGTCAGGAGCTCTGCAGCCTGAGGGTCCAGAGACAGCCTCTGGCACTGATTTCCCTCAACTGATGTATTTTCCACCAGCTGGAAGGGTGTACAGGGACATAACCATGATGCACGCACCCTATTTCTGTACATTTTATGCTCTTTGCTTAGGCATCCTTAGTGGCCACTGACCACTAAGCCAATGGACGTTTGTTTTAGTTACATATGTCCATTCTGTGTTCTTATATTCTGTATTTATGGAACAGAAAATTAACTGGGAGTGCAAAGAGGCACGCAGATGTTTTGTATTGCAATGGATTATGTTGCTCCTAAGCAGGAACAGTTCAACGTATGTCCCAAGATGTTTGACACATACCATGGTGGCTTAACGTATCTTACACAAACTGGAATGTCACAAGAGGTATTGCATGAATAACCTGGCATCTTCCAGAAGAAAAGTTTCAATAGGTTCAGAGAGAAACCTTGCTTTTTCACTGGGATATGAAAAGTAACTTGATTCTGGTTGGATTTGAAGTCACCAAAAAATGGGTAATTTTTTGATTGGCTCGATGTGTACTTGCTGAGAAGAGAAAGCAGTTGTCACTCCCCTTTGGAAACAGCTTATAAAAGAGGGTCTCAGTCCCACAGCCAAAGCCCTCTGGAGGGAAGGGACCAAGAGCAGGTCTTGTTTGGCTTCTGGGCTCACCTGATACCTGGTAACTTCTCAGTTCTTTTCAGTCTTTCTTTCCTTGTCTGCTGTTGTCTTTTCCTAAAAGAAAAAAAAAAAAAAAAAAAAATCCCCAAACAAACCCCCAAACCTCTGCATTATTAACCTAAATTTGTAGATTACTAAAAAAGGTTAGTCTAAGTTTTCCAGAAATTGCGCAGGTTGAATAGTAGTTCAAATATGTGTTAATACCTAGAATACTTTGATAAAAATACTTTGCTTACTAACTCCTAGGAAAAATATCTGGCTGGGTCAGGTTACTTTAGAGAGGTCTGTGGTCTAGAAAAATTGGCGGTCTCTTTGATGGAAACCAGTATATATTTTTTATCTATGTCTCTATGTTAAGAACTTCATTTCATTTTCAGAATTGTTAACTTTGCCTACTTGTTTCTCCTGATATTTTCAAATATACAGAAATTTGTGTAAACTTCTAATACTAATTTCAAAGCTGTTTTCAGCCACCCTTTACCATTCCGTTTGTAGAAATATGACCTTTCAGCACAACTTCCTTTACCTTCCTTACTTAAGAGAACATAATTTGTGACAGATCAGAAGATTCTCTAATGCCAAGTTATATGACATTAACTATCTCTTCTTTACCCATAAGCCCCCTTCTAGGCTATCTTATCCCATTTTGCTGGTATTAGTTCAATTATTAACTCTTTCAATGAAGGCATTACATGTTTACTTTTCAAATTTCATTTGTCAAATGGGAACAGATTTTGTTGTACATTTCCATTCTAGAACTGCTGCCTGTAGGCTAAGACTGAAGATTTTGAGCAAGTTCATTTTAGCTGTTATTTCTTGATAAATTTTAACATTGCAAAATGAACATTTTTTCCCTGAAGTTTGTAAGTTTGACTGCACAATCACCTCATTTTGCTTAGTGTTGTTTACTTATTAGATAAAACATTTAACTAAAAATAAAGGCATGATTGCATTTCAGCTAAGGACTATTTGCAAAATGTGAAAGAAATCCCAGCAGTCAAACTATTAAAATAACTTAATGATCACATATCCTGAAAGCATGTTACCCATATATATTTACTTTTCCCAGAAATGCCCACACAGCAGTCATGATGTCACCTGGGTCTTACTGGTTATTTTTGAAAGTTTGAAGAAAAAGGAAATATAAATGCCATTTTGATGAACACAGTATTTGTACAGTTCAGAAGACTGTAGATCCCAGGGACTGTCTGTCATACATCTTTCTTGGTCCTTTTCCCTAAAACGACACAGCAAATCCACAGTCATGAAGACCCTTTACCTGCTCTTTTCTCTCCTCTTCTTGGCACTCCAGGTTTCTCCAGGTAAGATGGAAAAGAGATGCTAGAAGGGGATTGTTGTGCACCTGAACTAAACTTCCCAGCACATTTTAAGCACTGCTGGTTGAAATTGCTAGAAACCGAGCAGGAGTTAGTCAAATAGTTCACTGCCCGTGCTCCCCTATGAAAACTCTTTCAAAGGTGGAGAAATTATGACTTCTGAAGAAAAGTGATCTTTCATTTCTGTTGTCTTCCTAAAAAGATTGTACTAAATGCTCTGGTGTTAGACACTTGAGATGGTGTCTCTGGTGGCCATGGTCTTTGGATAACAGCACACTCAGCAGTGCATATGCAGATGAAGATGAAGCCTGGCCAACTATTTTCAGATAGCAGCCAGTATTAAAGCCTCTGGACCCATGACCCTTTTCCATAAGGTAAAGGACAATGAGTCAGAAGGTCTGTATCATTCTCCACCTGGACTTTAAGGCCGTCTATTTAGATGCACTGTGAGCTAAGGATCCCACCTCTGTAAGGCGTAGACCTGCTTCGTAATCTCACCTCCTACATGGCCTTTCAACACGGCCAAATCTGGGCAACAGTCCTTAAGGTAAGTTGGAGGTGAAGGCAGCTCAATGAATGGAAAACCTTGCTGGCATTACGACTGCATTGCCCAGCCCTGCAGAATGAGAGGAAAGGAGTTTTTTTGTTATTATTGCAGGTTTGTCTTCACCCCGCCGGGACATGTTTGTCTGTAGAAAAGGGTCCTGTCGCTTAGGAAGATGTCCCATCCAGATGGTTAGAGTTGGAAGTTGCTTTGGGTTCCTTTCCTGCTGCAAATTGTAAGTTTGACATTCACTAAGACTTACCTGCAGGCAAATCTCTTTTGCTTGTGTCCTTAACCCCAAGGTGCTATGGAATGTTCAGATTGGATATAAGGAAAAAAAAACTATTACGCCATGAGGACAGTCAAGCGTTGAAGTAGGTTGAGCTCCACGGTGCTCTTTCTCCCGAGATGTGCACCATGATCTGCCCCAGCAAGAAGGATAAAGTACCACCAGAGATGTCAGCCTTGTGCTGTCCCAGCTGTTTGACCCCTTAACAGCTCCTGTGCCAGAGCAAAATATCAGGGTTTGGTATTTGCAGAGCTGGGCTGCTGTGCTCTATGGGGAACAGGAGGGAATTCAGTTACGCTGCAGGATGAACATGTATCCCTAAATGCCATCAAATGTGTGCAAAAAGCACAACAGTGTTGCAAAAAGAAATTATCATATGAAAGGCGGCCTTCTGTTTTCACTCAGGAGTGAATGCATTCACCCCAGTATCAAAGGATATTAATTTAATTCCCTGCTTTTCCTGAAGCAATAGGAAAACACTTTTCTTACTCACATGGCTGTCCCAGCATGACTACACATGACATTAGGTATTTTGGAAAGTATTTATATCCAAGAGGAAAATATGCATGGACTGAGAGTAAGTAGGGAGGGAATACAAGCAGAAAGAGAATCTGAATCTTTTTTTTTTTCTTTGTGCAGCCCATGGGATCTATAAAAGCTTCATGGACTCTCCATTCAAGAGCGATGAAAATTTCTTCTAAACCTAGGAATTTGCTTTGAATCCCCTTACTGCCAAAACCACTGGATCCTGCTATAAAGCCTCATGCACCTTTCATTTTTAATGCTAAAAGCTTTATGATGTAGCATAAATCCAAATGTATTCTGCACTGCTTTCCCTCTTTTTGAATAAATTGTTGTTGCTTTGCATTCACATCACTGAAACATGGGGGTCTGTTGCATGGGCTGAGGGCAATGATCCTACCTGGGTTTTGACACACAGACCCTGGAGGACAACAATTTATAATGCCAACTGCTCCTTAATTTGAGCTTTTCTGAGACATGCAACTCTCCAGGGCTAGACAGACATGGACTGAAGACCTTACCCTCCAGTACCAAGAGATAAGCTGGCTGGAAGAAGTCAGCTTCCCTTTGCTGGAATGTGTTCAGATGCCAAAATCCTTTTTTTCTTGTTATGCAGAAACCTTTTCTTGGGGAAAGAGAAATACAAATAGCTAAAACCCCAGACATCCACTATCCATTAAAACCTCCTCATGTGAGACTCAATGTTCTGGCTTCTGGAAGATGTCCCTGAGCATCATGGGAAAGATGTAGACCTATTTTCTTTTTTTTTTAAATAGTGCAACGATTTATGCCAGTTCTTTTCTCTCCAGAAGTTGTTTGTCCTGTAATTTCACAGCAATGTATGTAAGTTTTGGGTTTTTTTTTCCACCTGTCCCTCTGAGAGGATGCATAAAAGATAATGGGTGGAGAACAGCTTATACTGGTCTCGCTTCATTAGCTCCTCTCCCCCTCCCTCCACCATATGGCACACACCCTTCAGTTCTCCGTCGGGATACACACATTTCTGAAATGTTGTTCAGGAAGGGATTTTGTTTGCCTGCCAAAATTGCAGCACTTATATGTCCTATGACTATTTCTTTGCACTTCCTAGCAGGGAACAAACTTATCCTCAGGTGTCCAATCCAATTTCTAATCCTCTGGACATTAGGAAAAATGTCTTTACTGCAAGAGTGGTCAGGCCTTGGAACAGGCTGCCCAGGGAAGGGGTGGAGTCCCCATCCCTGGCAGTATTTAAAAGACGTGTAGATGAGGCGCTTAGGGACATGGTTTAGTGGGCATGGGGGTGTTGGGTTAACGGTTGGACTTGATGATCTTAGAGGTCTTTTCCAACCTTAGTGATTCTATGATTCTATGATTTCCTATACTCAAGTCATGGCACCAGTTAACATAAAGTCTTTGGAAAATGGGTGTTTGGAGGAATGCATGCCTGGACAAGTTGTAGACCCTCTGCCTGGTGCTAGCTGACAGTCTGGCCCTGTCGTGCAGGGAGACTGTAGGCAGGGCTTGCTCACACATCAAAGGGGGCTGAGAGGGTACTGTTGTCCCCTAGAGGGAATGTATCTAGAGGAGGCATCCAACACGCAACGTGGCCATGCATTCAGGCAAAATCTCGTGCTTCAGGCCTCTTCTCAGTGCATTTACAGCAGCTAGATTATGTCCACCCTCAAAAAGCAGTTCAAAACTGATTGGGCAGATTCTAGAAAAATGACTCTGAGTGTTTATTTCATTTTTTTTTTTCTCTGTGGTGTAGGCTGTAGACTTGCTGTCTATCTCACACTGCTAAGAGAAAAGCAAAGAGAATGCATAGGAGCGTTATGGTTGAAAGCAATTCCAGCGCTCTGTATAAAGAGGGGTGAAAAGACACCAGAACAGAGACAAAGAAGTGCAAATCTGTGCCTAGAAAACATGAGGGTATTTTTAGTTGTCATCACGACAGAAGTCGTAAGTTTTGCTGAGGAATGCAAGTGTACAAAGGAATTAGCTTACAAAGAACACAGTTGTTGACTATTCCTTAACCAGCAGATAAGCAGGGTAATCATAGTCTATTCACTTTTAGCCCAAACACATGATGAAAATGTAACATCTAGCCTGCTGTTCCTTGTAGGATTTCCTACACTAAACAGTGTTCAGTGGTGTTAATGAACTATACAGAGAAGGTTCTTAGAAGACCTGATTGATGACATTTAAAATTACAGATTTTAATTTTTACAGTCCTGTAATAGACAGCACTTGCAAGAGGTCTTGACTTTTCCACAACAGCACATGGGGACCAGGCAGAATATCACACAGCACTAGAAATGGCACTACTGCCCACGTTCAAACAACCGAAGCCGTCCTCACTGGTCTGTTGGTTCTCCTGACTCTATTTGACCGCGATCTGATCTGTTCCTCCCCTGCACCTGGGGAGGAACAACACCACGCACCAATATATGTTGGGGGACACCCAGCTAAAAAGCAGCTTTGCAGGAAAGGATCTGAGGGGTCCTGGTGGACACCAGGCTGAACGTAAGCCAACAATGGGCCCTTGCGGCAAAGAAGGCTATCCTGAAGGTATCCTGGACTGCATTAGACCAAGTATTGCTAGCAGGATGAGGGAGGTGATCCTTCCCCTCTACTCGGCGCTCGTGAGGCCACACCTGGAGTACTGTGTCCAGTTCTGGGGTCCCCAGTCCAAAACAGACATAGTCATACTGGAGAGAGTCCAGCAAAGGGCCCCCAAGATGATGAAGGGACTGGAGCATCTCTCCTATGGCTGAGAGAGCTAGGACTATTCAGCCTGGAGAAGAGAAGGCTCAGGGGATCTTATTAATGTGTATAAATACCTGAAGGGAAGGTGCAAAGCGGACGGAGGACAGGCTCTTTTCAGTGGTGCCCAGTGCCAGGACCGTGGGCACACACTGAAACGCAGGAGGTTCCCTCTGAACATCAGGAAACACATTTTTACTGTGAAGGTGACCGAGGACTGGCACAGGTTGCAGAGGGAAATTGTGGAGTCTCCATCCTTGGAGATATTTAAAAGCCATCTGGGCACAGTCCTCAACAACCAACTCTGGGTGGCCAACTTGAGCAGGGGATGGGACCAGATGACCTCCAGAGGTCCCTTCCAGCCTCAACCAGTCTGTGATTCTGTGATTCTGTGAAACTACATATTTTTATTGAAGCAGGGAAAAGCAGCCTTTGCCTAAATGACACCAGGCCCATGACGGGATGTCTCCAGCCCATGAGCACCCAGCAGGAGCGGCGCTACCACTCCTGCTGTCACACCACCTGGGGACGGCAGAGGCAGGGAGGGGAGAGGATGTCAGGAGCCAGTTCCAGGAGCCAGAAGTGAGGGGAATGTCCTGCTTGGAAAGTCCAAGGATTCATCACCATTTCCTGCATAAAGAAAGCACAATATGTGGTCACCGATATTTATTTCTCATGTTCCTTCTTTATCTTCCTCCAGTCTCTCTGACACTTCTCCTATTTTAAGGACCTGTAAGGAATTCCTGGACAACCCTCCTCAGATAAACTCCAGTCCTGATTGCAGATGACTTGGACCTGTGCTTTCCTTAGTGGTTGCAGCCTTGAACCCAGGGCTCTTCAGAAACCTCAAGGAGATGGTCCTGTGCCCCAACTACACAAAGATCAAACTTCACTTTCCGACAGCATAGGAAAGTCTTCATGAAAGCCCCCAGTCTGGTCTCATAGGGCTGGGAAGATGCTGGCTGAGTTTGGGCTTCTTCAGTCCCACACAGGGCAGGTTCAATCAGCTTTACCAAGGGACTTTAACCCTCTTTCTCTGGCCTCTGCCTTTCAACATGAATGCAGGAGGGTGTTATCCAGCAGTGTGGATGTAAAGAGAACAGCCAAGAAAGAGCTATTTCGGCCAAGAAAGCAGAAGGCCAATTCCTGACTGTTTGACTTTAGAACTTACCTTTTGCAGTAAACCATAAATGTTGAACACCTTCCAAAGATGTGATGAGGGTGATAGCATGTCAAAAAATTACAGCATCCCTCTTCTTCCTTACATTGACCTTAATTTCCTGGAGCCAGAGATGCACTTGTACAGAGAAACAATTGAAAGGAAAAGATAATTTGGGAGAATATTCTGTAATTCCAGAAGGGCTAGCACTCCACTAGGATTTCAACCCACTTTGTGGGCCAAGTATTAAAATGACCGTAATTGCACCTTCAATAGCAAGTTACCTACCTAGAAGGACTATCAGCTAAAGCCCTGAGACACAGGTATCCCTGGGCATTTGCAGTACAAAGGGATGTTTTCTGTCCTCCCAGTGTCCCTGCAGAAGGAGCAGCTCTTCCATAAAGCGTTGGCTAGCTCATCCAGCCTGTGGTAGAGGGCTTTGATATCTCAGAATCACATACATCAAAGGGTCCTCAAAAGGTGCTAAGTATCTGTGATTAGACAACAGACTTCCCCATCC